AGACAGACAAGGATAAGGAAGAGTTGCTTTATTCTGCAGAAGAAAGGAGAGCTTTGCATTTTGGTATAAAGACTTTGTTTTTTATATAGTTTATAGATTATATAGATAGATAAAGGCCCTTGCTGTGTTAATATTTGATTGGTGGTTGTCAGACCCCTGCTTTTGCTATCTGGTCAGTGAAAACCGGCTTGGGACCAGCTTTAACTATTTGAAGGCTTTGAAAGGGAAGACAGTTGAAAAGTTCAGGCTACTGTGTACTTGACGTGTCTGCTTCTCCCTAATGGCCACTGGCTGACCTAACGGCTACTAGCTGTTAAGGGGGGGGTCACTAGTAACTTTTACAGCTGCAAGCGGCTTGGCGTTATTTACCTTCCCTTCAGCGCTTTACTGGTGTCGCTCTTTCTGTGTTGCCAAATTAACTGAAATGATGTTTCCCGGCATTTCTGCTCCCGGGTTGGGTTTGCGGTGGCTCTGTCCTTCCCCCCCCCCAGAGCCCAATGGGAGCCGCTTGCGGTGCTTTGAAAGGCAGCACAGCAGGGCCGGTGCAGTCATTTAGGCAAACTAGGCTGGAAGCTGTTGTGTCCTGTGTGAATTGGCTGGTCGGCTTAAAAGGGCAACGTACTTAAAGGGGCAGTGCATGTCTGTCTCTCTCACTCATGCACCCCCTCCCCCCCAGCACTTTGGAAAGTCAGCAGCCGTGCATGTGCTGTCAGGAGGAGGGAGCGGTGCGCTCCAGCTGGATAGCGTGGGCTCATCATCATGCTCAGTTTTTGCAGGGAAGTGTTTGCAGTCACTGCCCTGCATCTGTTGTGTTTCCTCCCTCCTGCCTCAGTCCATGCTGCCTTGTAGAGTGTGAGGCCACATTAACAACAGCGTATTAACCCTTGAGGGCTCAGCCGAGTGCTAGTTCATCATTTAACAGCAAGGCATCCCTGGGAAATACCCCACCCTCTGACTCCACCACCTCAACCAAGCTTCACACTCCTCATTGCTGTGTACAGTATTAGACTGTTTGTTTAAAATTGTTTAAACTTTATACTGTATATGTATATAATGTCTCTTGTCTGGTGAAAACAGATTCTCTGGAGCCTAACACCCCCCTATTTACATTAATTCTTATGGGGAAATTGGATTCACTTAACATTTTTTCACAAAGTCACATTGTTCAGGAACAGAACTACAGTATTAAGTGAGGAGTTACTGTAACAGGGACAAAAATGGTGTAAAGGTAAAAGTAGGTAAATTAACCTAACCAAAACTCCATATTCCCCAAATGAGAAGTGGAAAAACTTTACCCTCAACTACACTACTGGGTGCCCAGAGACCCATCCCATAAGCAATTATGTAAGGGGGGAAATACATCTCTTCTCCCGCCCCCGCCCAATACCTGTACAAACAGGCATTGCAAATAAAGACCCAGTCGTGTTCTGGAGTGTTTGAAGTGGGTAACAGCCAGAGAAGAACCAAGATCCTGTGAATTCCCCACCCTCACAGTAGAGCTGTTCATGAGAACTCTGCAAAAGTAGGAAGAAACAATTTAAAAATGCATTGCACCTTTGTCTGCTGTTTGCTTTAATGTAGGTTCCCCCCCCAATGAAGCTTCACAAAAACTGAAACGTTTTCTTGCAGTGAAGCATGCAACTCTTTCCTCTCTTCCCCCCCTGCCCCCCCAAGCAATTTTTTAACCATAATGGGGATGCAGGCATGTGTCTCCTGGAGGCAAAGTGGAACGTTTCACTCATCACCCATAGAATCTTAACATCTCACAGGCATTAATGAATATATCCTCATGACTCCCCTGTGAGGCAGGGAAGATTGTATTCCATTGCACAGATGGGTAAACCAAGGCCCAGTTTGGGGGAAGTTCCATACCCCAGAAAACAGGATTAGAACCCAGGTCTTAGATTAAGTAAAACAGCTGGTAGAAGGCAGAGATCAGACCCACCGAGAGAACCAGACAGGGCTACAGGAGGCTGCTGTAGCTTTAACCATCCTTCCCCTCTGCAAGAATGACCAGGGCCTTGTTTACATGGGGAAGTTTAACCAGCATAGCTGTTATTGCAGAATAGTTCATTATGTGGACACTTTATTGCACAGTAGCTGTACCAGTCAACTTCTCCATGTAAAAAGGCCAAAGATGTGGTGACCAGGAAATCTTGACTTGTCTTGCCACATCTGCCACTGATTGGCCTTAAGTATACTTTGCACTTTCCTGGAAGTTTACTTAGTGAGGGAATGTCGATAAGATGAAATCGTGCATGACCTAAGAATAACAAGGGGATTAGTTCTTAGGCAAATTGCTTATACAGTTGATCCTCAGAGTGATGGACATGGTGGGAATGGGTTGTTCGTAACTCTGAAATGGTCATAACTCCGAACAAAACGTTACAATTGTTCTTTCAAAAGTTTACAACTGAATATTGACTTAATGCAGCTTTGAATCTTAACTATGCAGAAGAAAAATGCTGTCCCTTTTTTAGTAGTTTGTGTTTAACACAGCACTGTACTAGATTTGCTTTTTTTAGTCTCCATGGCTGCCTGATTTCATGCTTCTGGTTCCAAATGCGGGGTGTGGTTGACTGGTCAGTTTATCTCTCAAAACTCTGAGGTTCTACTATAATTAGCTTTCCGGTTATTAGATTAAACTTGTTTTTCTTGATGTTTGCTTCTGCAAGTTAAAACTGCAGACCCCATTTGAGCTCGCTGCAGCCACTATAAGAAATGTCTGCAAGGCCTGTAGATACAGGATTTAAAAAGGGAGAAAAAGCTGCAAGGCCCTGGAACACCTGGACAACGTGGAGGGTCCTCCCTTCTACTGTTAATAACTGGCCATTACTTGTCTGATTGTATGACAATACTAAGCAGGGATAAATAGCTCTACTTGCTAGAGCATCTGTGACGTACTTCCTTGGGTAGCACCGGTCATCCTTCAGACAAATAAAGGCACTTTCAGCTGAAGTGTTGACTCTGCCCCTTATGAACAGACAGGGATAAAAATTTCCAACTTGCAGGACAAGGTCCTTGTTGTGAGAGGCTACCGGTGTGGTGCTTCTGCTTTCTCCTGTTGATATCACTCGGCTGTGTGCGTGTGTTCCCTCTGTGTGCTGCCCCAGCTCTGCGCAGATAGCTGACACAGCAGACCCAACGAGAACCCCCAATAACCACAGAGTCTACTAAGATACAAAGGCACCTCGGCCAGGTTTATTGCGATCTCGGACACAATTGCAGTTCCCTGTAGGTTTCTGAGCCTAATTCAGTGCATACTACGAGAAAAGTGCCTCTTGGCAAGGACCTGGCTCAGTGGCAGGACTTTCCACTGCCCCCGTGGCCG